CCTCTCCCAACCTTTCCTGCAAACATTGCTTCTTCCTGATGTAGGGATTAATCTTCTCTTTTTCAGACATGTGGAAAACCACTCGCCTCTTCTGACACCAAACCTTTCCTGGCCACGGGCAGCAGCAGCAGCCGGGAATGAGACGGGTGTAGAAGGAAACAGCAGCCCTCACAGCAACCACAGTGACAGTGCTGGGTCCCTGGCAAGGACAGTGGTTCAGGCATGGTATGCCCCAATCATCAAAGAAAAGTAAGGCACATATGTGATCCATTGTGGGCAGACCTGCCTCTCCACCCCCTCACACAATACCCTGAATGAATTAACCCTGCATGCTTCACCCACAAGCCGGCTCACTGTAGTCATGCAGTGTCCAAGAGGGGAAGGACACGAAGACACTGCTGAAGTCCCTTCATAGGGCCCCTGTGACGGCGCTCCTGGGGAGCTAGACCCTGGAGGGAAGGCAAGATCTGCAGCCCCACTTCCAGCTTAACCTTTGCACTGATAGGAAGACCATGGAAAGCCACTTCACCTCATTGGCTCAGGTTCCCTTTCCAGGAGGTGGCAAGAAAAAAAAATCTTCCTGCCAGTCTTTCAGGAGTTGTGGAGAGAAAACCTGTTTGGTAAAAACTACCTGATTAAAAGGCATTTTAATTCCGATGCTATTTTGAACAAAAATCATATATGAGCTGTATGTCTTTATGTATAATAACCAAACAATCCTGGCTCAACATATAGTTTGTAAAATTAACAAGTGCCATGTTCTGGAAGGCAGGGTTTCTGATTTTGCAATGCTGGGGTGGGGGACGTAGGCAGGGAAGCTGAGAAACTTTGGGCAAATCTCTAGGCCTCTTTCCTCTTGGAGCCCTCCGGAAGTGCAGATGCCCTCAAGGGGTCCTTTCGCTCCAACACTGGGTGGCTACCCCAACCCGGCGAGGCATCCTGCACCACTCAGGAACTGCAACTGACAAAGAGGGGCAGGGGACACCTCTGGGCAGCTCAGAGCCAGAGCGAGCCCCTCTGCTCAGCCTCAGGGAACGACTCGCCACATCCCTTCGCGGGGCTTCCCGGAGCCACAACTTCGTTCCTGAAAACTCCATGCCCTTCACTTACCCAATGTGAACACGGTAAAAACAGCCCAGCTGTCCCAGCAGCTCCGCGGCCGCCGGGAGACCACGGAAGCGGGGCCTAAGGAGCTCGTCCCAGCCCCCAGCCTCGCCGCCTCCTTCGCGAACCTCCCTCCGAGAGGCGCCGACGTCCAGCCTCCCTCCGCCGGCAGCCGAGCCCAGCCTCCCGCGTCTACACCCGCCGCTTCAGCCGCGCCGGCCGACCCGGGG